TGTGCATTAATTGGCCAATGGGGGCTGCTACCCACTATCACGCTCACTCTCTTTTTTTCATTTCTCTTCTCTCATAAAAAACAATATTGCACAGGAATTAAACGATAAATGTTTGTTTAGTGTCTTTGTATTCGTTGCTCTTCCTGTTATATGGAGATGGTGTTGCTGCTGTTGTTGCCTTACTTTGAATTTGTTAGTTTGAAAGTGTTTTGATTTGTATGACAGTGTTTAGTGCCATCGTCGTCGTTGCTGTTGTATATTATTGTGGTGCCGGTAAACAACAAACCAGGGGGAATTTCTAAACAAAAAGTAAAGGAGAAAAAAACTTTCAGTCTAAACATTAAAATACATGGGGAAATAAATTTAGTTTTAGCTTCTGAAAAAAAAAAATCAAATAGTATTGCATTCATAACTTTCCAACCGCAAAAACAAATAATAAATGAACATCAAACGGCCAGTGAAAGGAAAATTATTAAACATTTTTCCAAAATAACCAAATTGTGGATTCAAGTACTTTTTGGTGTGTATTACATTAACAACAAATTGATAAGAGAGAAGTAGGGTTGAAGTATTTTTGTTGTGTTTGGATATATTTGTAGCCGCGTTATCTTTGTTTATTTATTTATTTATTTTTGTTGTTGTGCTTTGTGCATGAATCAACAAATATTCAACATGAAGTTTCTTTCATTGGAGGTTAAGGTTAAATAGAAAGCATATGAAATTATTAACCCTGGAATTGTTTCATTTGGTTTTAACATTAAACAACGCAAACAATAAATTTGTTGGGAATAATAAAAACTGGAATGAGGTAAACAAACAAAGCATGTGAAAAAGCAGTGAATGCAAGAATCGATGCCGACATGGTTAACAATTAAATCGTATTAAACTTTACAAGGACGAGTTAAAAAGTAGTCAGAGTCAGTTTTTCCTACAGATAATATATTTTGACCTATGTTATTGTTATTCAGAATATTAATCCAAGGTTGCAAAAGAGTGGACCAATATTGTGAACTTTGCATCTGACCTAAATGTGATATAAACGATTTTCTGCACTTTATAAGAGATATACCTACAAATTTATTTACAAAATGCTAAGCTAAGTGGGAATGTACCACATACAGTGAATCGATGTATTGCATTTTCACATAAAAATTTTAATATTTTGTAGGGAAGCACATTTTCATATACTTTTGAGCTAAAAAAATGTTGAGATACACAATTTTTAAAAAAAAATCCGAACTTTTTTCGCAATTACAATTAATTTTTCAATTACTACAAATCTCAAGACCTTTAGATTGTAAAAATATTGTGATATACAAAGTTTCAAGAAAGTCATATTTTATTATGTCATGATCATTCAAAATTGCTTTGGTAGATTTGTTAGGATGTGCCGAGTTTAAAAGTAATCGAATGCACATTACGCGTTTTATGAGCTGCATGGTTATTCAAAATTTTAAGCCATTGGGGGCGGTGTCAGAAGTAGTGGACCATCTACACACCAGATCTTGTATTGATAAAAATATTGGAATGAGCGAAACTTTAAGGGAATTTGATTATCAATTCGCGTATTATGATCTTGTTGATTATTCGAAACTTTGATCCTTTGTGGTGAAGGTACTTAATGGAGTGAACCGATATTGTTCAATTTCCCACCTAACTTAGCACTGATAAAAATATTAGGATTTGCAAAATTTGAACAAAATTAATTTATATATAACCTCCGTATCAAATGATACATAACCTCTGACCTGAACTGATCTGAACGCAATACTATTTACGATATGTTTCGATTCTTATCCGATCTATATCTTTCATAAAGCACAAATATGAAATCGGATGGATATTATATGATGATTCTTAAAGTAGATTTGGCTGATATTTTTAGTTAATATAAAATAATCGCATGCCAAAAAGAATATATGTGTGTGGGACTTATATCTTAAACCGATGTACATAATGTGTGTAATATTCGATAAACGATTTTTTCAACGGGTTTAGTCAATAAGACAAAAAAAAGCAGTTATAAGTTTATTTTCAATTAAACAATAAATGTGACTTGTCCGAACCTTGTTCTTGAACACGTTTTTGTAGTTGGACTAAAACTGTTGGTACAGTACATGGTAGAAGAATATGGGTAGACGCATCGACACAGATGCTGGGACAATGAAATGTCAAACAAATTTTGGAATTAATAATGTTAAATGAAAAATTATTTAAATTTTTAAAAATGGTTGAAAACGCGTATTATGATTACCTTCGAATGACGTCGTATAGGAAAATATATAAAAATCTACTTATATTTAAAAAGACATTTAAAATTTTTTGACGTATCAATTTTTCTAAGCGCCGTTGCATCTACCTGTATTCTTCTACCATGGTACAGTGGGCACTACCCTAATTAGATTAATCATCATCGCTCGTCAACTCATCCACATCGAAGTATACTACCTCTAAATATGCACTATTCTAAATGAGATACCCCTAAGCCTATTTACAAAAGCTACACGTAACAAATTATGGCTTTAGAACAGTTATAATTTGGAATCAGAGGGAACTAATGCATGGGAGGTATATCCAACTCTGTGTCGATTTCCAAAAATATTGGTGACGGGAGGATGACGAGAAATAGTTGTCCAATATTTTCAGGTTCGGTCATTATCTTAGTCTGTTGTAAGTAATACAGGGTCTTAAACTTGGACTTTATTGGTTACTCGTCCCGTTTTACATGATTTCTTTTAATATTGCCTAACCTCTACTGGAGAGGCCCTAGTAAGACATATAAAAAATATTGGAAATTCAAAAAAAAAAGAGTGTTATTATTGTTCAGAATTTTTATGAGGTCCAATATTGTCCATTTTCACACGTCTCTGGGTATATATCATTTGATAAGGCAAAAAGGCCCGCCTCAACGAAATAACTCTTTTCCATATAAAGAAAAACTCCTAGAATAGCTTTTGCCTTTGAAGAATCTTCCTATTGAGCTTATTGTTCGTATTGATTCTTTATCAAGATTAATTGTCGCCTAAGATTTCAGCCTTTCATGGAAAAGTATTCATTAACTATATATGTTGACAATAATTTTACATATGCTTAGTCAATTCATTATAACCCATTCCATTTAGATTTGTATCGGGTCTTTCAATTTAATGATATTCACATTCCAATGAAACAAATCGCTTACTGATACTTGACAATTCTTCGTAGTACTATCAAATTACTGACTTATTGTAACTGTCATCAATATTTGCATTTACAAAACAAAAAGCATTTTTTTTTTTTTTGTCCAACGCTTGATTGTCAGTCTGTCTATATTTAAAATTTCTACGCTATGAATATGTAATAATGCAACAGAGGCAGTGGGGAAGAGCGCGCACGCAAAAGCCCATCATTGGAAAACAATAATGTCAACAAATTTGTATAACAATAACCCCCATATAATAGTACAGAGTCGGACAGAGAGATAGAGAGAACAATGGAGTTGGGCCAGAGTTGTGGCCAAACAAAATCGAGGAGGTGTTTGACAGTTAGATATTAGGCGGGAACGCAATGTGTGTTTGCTTTATTTTTAAATGTTATAGCAAAGAATAAATATATATATTTTTTAGGTTTTTATCTCGTTTGTCTCGTTTTACTGGGGTCAAAAGCTTACCCCTCACAAACTCTCTCTCTCTCTCTTTTTCTCTCTCTTTCTGAAGAACCTCAAACATCAACAAAACATTTATTCCCTGTCACTTTTCTCTGGGGGTTTCGTCGTGATTTTGCTTTCTTTGCTGTTTAGGTTTGTACAACAAACCGCAATAAACGCCAAAAGAGTGACAATAAATTTTCAGCTAAACAAAGCCAAACAACAGCAATTGCCAAATAAAATATCGTAAACGAGTCGACAAAATTTTAAAAGTAAAACAAAAGCAAACGTATGAAATAATGAAAACACAGACAACGCGATGTTCGCTATAAAAGAGGCAGAACAAAGCCAAATTAAATTCATTACTCGTACAACAGCATAATGAAGAATGGTACAGTGATGGGCAAATTTTTAGATGTTTCTTATTATTTTAAAAATAAGTGTCAAAGTAAAAACTTGGTAAGCATTGAAAATAGCACATTTTCAGTTTGCTAGTAATAAGAGCCACATACCCTGCATTAACAGTGTTCCAATATTAATGACAAATATATACTTTTAGCACTGCCAGTAATCCAAAAAATAATAATTTTGTATAGTACCAAGTTGTGAGTAACGGCAGCACCGAGTGAGCAAGCACGACCACGAAATAAAAGCTCACTGGTTCGCAACTAAGCAACAATTAATTTTTGTAAAAATGGCTGAATTCATAGTCTACTACTGCTACCAATTTCAGTCAATCTGCTCTGCCAGCGCTGATCCCCTCTGGTTACACAACTCATGGTGGCATTAAAATCCACTAGTACCATGCGGTTATTACCTAGCGGGTTATATTTGGCAAATAACGGTTCCAATGTGGATGTAATTTCTTTTTGAGGAAGGAAGGCCTTGCACTATTTCTTTCAGACACAACAGCCCTCTCAAGAGGACTTAACAAAATGAATTCTAATGAACAAAAAGTAATTTGAAAAGTTCTTCTACAAGCACCAATATTTCCACACATTTTGTGTTTATGTTCTCAAGGCACATAGGACCTTCGATGAATATTTTTGACGCCCTTTACTTTGTATTTTTTTAATACGATATCCTTCATACAACATATTGCTATTTCTTTTAACACTAATGTACTGCAAACGAATATAAGAGCAATAACAGGAGACCAGAGTAAATGTTTTTTTGTTTTCAGAATGAAACAATCGAAAAACATAAGAAACATCAAACAAAACAAAAACACAAAAATTAGTAACAAAAGAAACGAAAAAATGCTGCAAAAGTGCCCTCACCACACCACAAAAAGCACAACAACAACAACATCAACGAAAAAAAAGATGAAATAATTGTTTGTGTGGTATTATTATTGTTTTTTGTTCGCCGAGAATATTTCAGTTGGAGAACGGCTGTGTGTTGGATTAGTGTGGCGAATAGAGTGTTCCCGCATGATGTTTCAGTCAGTGTAGTGTGTGGTTAAATGTGTGCCGACCGAAAATAATTATAACGAGAGTGTTGAGTTTTGAAATAAATTTGAAAACCATATTTTTTTAGAATTAATTTTTGTACAATTTTCACAAAAAATCGAAAAATATTAAAAGTGTTGTGAATGAGGAAAATGTTGTGCAAAAAATTAATGCAATTTTTCCATTAATTAAAATTGTACGAAAATAGCTTTCTAAAATTCACCACACACGGTAGAGCACCTTGAATGAGTGCTGCAAACACCACGACGTGTTGAATTTTTGGTAAAAGGTAAAGAAAACGATAAAAACAAATGTGGTCGCTCGGTGTTTTGGTGACAAAATGCTATAGTCCAAGAGCATAGCGAAAACACAAATACCCATCATATTCTCCTCAGCTTGTTGAATACGACAGCAAATTAGCCAGCCACAGAGGTGAAAAACCTTCAAAAGGAAAAATGCCTACGAACAAAATATAAACCAATTGCTCCCCCGAAAAAAGCCCCCATTCTCTCACACACAAACAAACACACACATACACACACATGTGCCTATGAAAATTTTTGATATTCTCTCTTATTGAATGTGATTCGTGTGTGCACTATTCTTCCCAATCGATATTTGTCGACGTTCTGTTGTCTACGCGCACCCCTTTCAGTTGTCGAATGTAACGCGCCACAAACGGACAGATCCGCGTGTAAAATCTGCTTAATAAAATTTAGTTCCGTAGCGCAGCTAAGCAGCCGCCAACAAGCCACCCCAGCAAAAAAAAGCACAACAACAACAAATTTTCTAAATAAAAAAAATAGAATCATAAATATGGAACACATGCAGTGCTAACTGAGATCATTGATCGATCCATTGTTGGTTCATTGACTGGAGGCTGTTAGAATTCGAATGCAATTAAGTGCAGCCGTAAAGTTCCGAACAATAACAAAACTCCCACACCGGTGTTTATGGTGCGGCAGCAATACTCCAACCTAAACCCCAATAAGAAGAAGGTGGCTCTGTTGTTGTGGCAGCAGGCTGTTGACGTCGCTGAGTTTCTTATGAATGACATAGCGCGTTTAACGTAAGACGTCGTGTTGTGTTTATAACCCACCACCACCAGCGTCGCGGTAGCCGCTGACACCCCATAAGTGTTTGTTGTAGCGTAAAATATTGTTCAGCTGCTAAGCTAAACTATTTTTAAAAATGTGTGTTAAAAATCTGTTCAGCTCGACAAGTTGAAAAAGAATTTGAAAAAATCAGAATAAGCAGAAGAAAAAAAATCACAAGAAAATTTATGTATAAGGTGACCAAAAAGCAAAACAAAAAATTCTTTAATCTCTAAAAATTATAAAAAATTAATATATAATAGCTATTTTCAATATCGCAGTGAAGAAAGGCGAAAAAAAGGAAAACTAAAAAATTGTGTTATATGAAAACAAGAAGAGAAATCATAAAAGAAAAAATAAATAATTAAATGAAAAAAAAGTTTTTACAAAATTACAAGAAAATCGAAAAAGTTATAAAAAATATATATATTGTGTAAAGCGATAAAACTAAAAATATTAAATATAGCATCAATTAAGTTGTCATTAAAATTGTCCCGCCGCCTATTGGCTTTCCACTTCCAAAACAAAGGGAGAAAAAAAAACACAGGAGATCGTCAAAATTCGTTTCTACAGCGTGTCACATCCAAAGAGAGTGAGTAAACAATTCATTCAAATTTGAAAAGAGTGTGTCATCAGAGATTTTTGTTCATTATATCACATACTGGATTACAACAACAAAGTCGATGACGTTTCCAACGTCTTAAAACACATTGTAAAGTGTCAAAGTAATGCAAATTTACATTTACTGTTATCGTCTTTTGCCAAATAAGAGAAACATTGCACAATAATAAAAACAACCAGAACAGCTAATTAGTGTCAAACAAAAAAAAGATCAAACAGAGTTGAAGACATTACAAATTACATAGCCTGTAAAAAATGTAATATTCGTCGGCATTAGAATACTGTGCAAAACCATTACTAATTAAACGAAAAAAAAAAAACGAGTAGATTATGAGATAGAGCTAAAAATATGAGATACGTGTATTGACTTTTTGAAAGTTTACAATCGATACATAACCATAATGGAGCGGAAAAGTTTCGCTCATTTGTACATTTTGGAAAATATTTGTGCTATGAAAGTATTACGGCAAAATCCCTGGGGAATAAAAAAAAATAATCCTCAGTCCATGTATATGTTGGTACGTCCCATCTCAACTTCTCGAGTTCCCGAGTCACGGATGCTGATTGACACCACGGGTATCTTCTCGGTAACTTCTCTCGGTGGAGACTGTTGAGTTTGCTCTCCTTGCTTTAGTAGTAGTAATCGACAAAGATTCTCGGCGATCGCCACGATCCTCTGTGATTGCATGAACCTCGGCATTCACTTGTCGATCAGTAGTTAAAGTGTACACTTGTCGCTTTAGTTCACGGTTATACTAACCAGGCCTCTGACGCCACCCTAACTTACGAAAGTAATTTTGTTGCATTAGAAAAGGGAAGATTCACCAATAAAGCATAGACAATATTAAGAATTATACAAATTCTTTCTGTGTTTTATTTCTTTGTATTTTCTTCCTCTCACTGCATTCACCAAACACACGCGTAACACCCTCATCTCTCATCATCACATCATAACTCAGGGGAATTATCGTTGTTGTCTTGCCGCTGTCGAAGCCATTCCCAACTCCCCTGAGTTAAACAGTCCATATAAGAAAGAGGTCATATGGCTGAAGAGGTGTTTAATCGAAATAACGGTTTTAGACCCTTGATCTCTTTGGACAAAATCTCTTCTTTTGTAAATTGGCAGTATGTGTTCGCATTATGTAAGAACTGTCAATAAAGGTATGCGTAAAGGTACGTCCAGATATTCGGTATTTTGATGCTCTGTTCACAGGAAATGTTTCAAATTTGGAATTTAAAATTCTTAATTAGTATTGGAGCCTATGACAGAAATTGACATAAGGAGATCCATGTCTTTGTATAGCCCCCAATTTTATGAAATTTTCAATGAATTTTTCATTAATAAAGCACCCAAATTCCTCTTTTAAGGCCTGAGTCGGCGTCGGCGTTAAATCACACGATCTGGTGTCCAAAACTCGAAATAATTATTCCTCGGACAAAACAAGAAATATTGTACACAACATTCCACGGTAAATCTCAGAATGAACTATATATCTACGTGCAATAGTTTTCATAAAAATTACATTCAACTCCTCTGTACCAAAAGTGAAAATTATGTCTTAGCTTTACAATCCGAGTCGCAATCTCCCTTTATACTTCATTTTTTGGGGAAAGTGCCAAAGTATGAATTAGATTTCAGATTTCATTGGGAGTCTCTGAACAACAGTAATTTGTATAATTTCTATATATCATAAACAATTACATAATATTTTTTTAATAAAAAGTCTTATTCATTTCTAAAAAAATTAGCATTTTTTACCAATTCACTGAAAAATATCTTTGCAAAATTGCCAGCCTGGATTGAGGATTACCAAATCGACTAGATAGTATTCGTTTATAGATCAAAAACACCAAAGGGGTTCTGGCCTTCATACAGTTTTGACCATATGTTTCTCAATATTTAAGACAGAGCTTTGAAATTTGATGAAAAAAATCTTTGAATTACTACTAGAATCATTGGAACTGAAAATGGATCATATATGCCCACCTTTTAAATAGTCCCCAATCTTTTTTTTCTGAAAAGTGTGGATGAGGGGGAACTTGCCTCTTTTTTTGTTACTTTTTGATGTAAACTTTCAAAACGCCGATACCAGTGTTTTCTATTTTCAGGTCTACTTTCATAATCTGCTGGATTTTCCCTGTAATTATTTTTTGTGTCGCACACATACATATTTAAAGATTCCTAGATTTGAGTAACAAAAATTGCTCATAGTATCATTTTTTTAACTTTAAGCATGTCCAGTCGAGAGCTAACGCTAGGAAATTTTTTTAATTACATTTTAAATAATCAATAGTGTGGAAATGTAAAATATCGATTTACCGTTTCTGGTATGTTCTTACAAATGATCCGAAATCATATATATAAGCGGATGGGGTTCACGATTTACTACTAAATTTCCAAGTCTTTCCAGCAAAGGTTCAAATAAAAAAATTGGAATCTCCCCAAAACTGTACATAACCAACATATTGGAATATTCAATAATTCTCATAAGCAATTTCATTACGTTTTCACAAAACAAATTCAATATTATTTCAACGACTTCTTCTATTTGCCACCTGCCAAAATCAGAGAATTACTAGGTGTTTTGTTACAGTTTTACACAATCGTGAGCATAACGTGATTACAACGATATTTATGTTAATTTTCAAATACTGTCACTGTCAATGCTGTGTCGTCGTGTTGCGTCGATGGTGTGTAGGCGTTTTTTGTCTTCTTTTGCTTCTTCTTTTTTTATAGGGGAACTACTTGCATAACTAACATAATGTAGCAGACCTAGAATATAAAACAAAAAAAAAGGCAATAAAAACAACAACACAAAGAATAGCAATAACATAAAGCGGAATCGCAAACCCATTCCAATGAGAAATATGGTAACCTTTGACATCAACACATTGTCGAATGCGTTTGTTGTTAATTCTTGTTGTTGCTGTTGTTGTTGGCAACGACACTTTTCTCAAGTTGACAATTTAATGTTATTGGCCGACAACGGCAAGAATATCTGTTGGATTCTATATGGTGTCTATAGAAAATATTTTATTACCCCTTCCCGGCAAACAACATAAGACTTCGCAATACAAACACATACGCACACACACCTGAAGAGTGTAGCTATAAAATGGTCTGAGTATTTATTTTCTGCTTGTCTACATTTCAATTTATGCCATTCTCTGTACCATTGTCCGTCTGTCTCTAATTATTGTCTATGTAATTTTCTTTGCCTAATTACAAAACATTAGCAGAAAAATACTTAATTGTGTGATGTAGGTACTTGTCGATTGAGACAAATGCCCTATGGGAGGATTGAAAATGATTCGGAATTAGTAGGTCCTTAGTATATGGAAAGAAAACTGGAAACTATTTAAGTTTATGAACATAGCAATTCTGCTACTAAAAACAATCTTCATTTGATCACAAGCTAAAATCTTGATAATCCGGAATGGAAAATTTTGCCCTCAAATTTCACTACACCAAATGGTTGTCTTATGTAGATTTCTTTTTGGAGAGAGAGATCTTATAAGTGCAAGTGACACGATTCCGAACAATACTGTCGAATTCCTCTACAACAAGTTAAAAAGTGTCATCAACCAATATTCTTCCACATATTATAAGGCTCGTAATTATTCAAAATGTTTACCCCTTGTGGGAGAGTTTTCAGAAGGAGTAGACCGATAAATTCACATATTCACATCCGATTACGGGATAAGAGGTCTGACTTGTTTGGCCGGATAAGCAGGATGTTTTAGAAGAAGTGGGTCGATATCTACCATCTTCACAAGAGAACTTGAGTCGATATTGAGATGTGCCGAGTTTGAAGGGATTTTAATGCTCCTTTAATGTGTTTCATGGTTGTGGAGAATGAACCATAAGGACCATAAGGAGTCCGATCTAAACCATTTTCACACCACAGCATCTGTGTTTGGATGTATCAAAAATTAAAGACAAACATTTTATAAGAGTTATAATTCTTCTAAATTTTGAGCCCTTGTGAGGGAGTTACTTGATGGAGTGGACCGACATAGCTAGGGCTGATACACATTAGCTAGGGCTAATACAATTACTATTAGGATTTGCAAAGTTTGGATAAAATTGGATGATACTTTCTTGTTCTATACGGTAAATTATTTTCTGTGTAATTTTCTGCAAGGGCGATATCAGAAGGAGTGGGCCTATATTACCCATCTTCGAACTCAATCGAAGTTTGACAATGTTATTACGATGTTCTAAATTTGGACAAAATCCAATTCTTCCTTCGAGAGTTATCGCGCGCACCATCCAACCAGATAAATGGACGGATGCGCAGCCCTAGATCGACTCCAAATGTCCTGAAACGGATTTGGTCCAAAAATGGGCGCATATTTCAAATGTTTTGCAGTTCTTATATCCACTAAGAAAACGAAAATACAAAAATTAACTCATACATACAAAATCCTTAATATCGGACATAACCTTTTCGAACTCTTGACCATAATGCAGATGCAATCCTAGACATAATCTACAATTTTGCCCATAGGAAATTCTGTGCAACTCTATCGTTACTCGTACAATTTAATTTGCAATTCGTAATGCCTTGCTATGCAATATTATTGAAATATCATATAATTATTTATATTGATGCTAATTATTGTTCGTCGTGGAATATAAGTTCTACAAGATAGCGAAAGAAATCTGCAATAGCATCGCAAAGCTCTGGGAAGTTAAGACTCATTCCCCATAGAGCATTGATGCCGTATTTGGTAGCTAGACCACCAGTATAATAATGAATCTTGGTGTGGTGTTGCCTGCAATGGAAAATATCATTTGGCAAGTAAAACTATACAGCTTCCAAAGATATGCATTTATTACTTGCGCCAATGAAGAAGGTTCTTTAGAACTTTAGAAAACAACAATAGCTATCAATGTACCCCCATTTTGGTAAATTGTCCCAAAAATAACAATCTAGAACAATGGATTTCAAATTATAGAATACAGCA